CAGAGTGAGACCCCAACTCAAAAAAAAAAAAAAAAAAGGGACAAGACCCATAACTTCATAATCTATGTGTTATTCAGTGTCATTCTGAAATCACCCTTTTTGTCTAATACCTTTGACTCCATCTCTGAAGAACAGATAGAATTTTGTTGAAGCCTGCCTAGGTATACAAATAATCATTTTCTAAATATTCTGTATAGCTTGCTAAATATTCTCTATATTCTACGTGCTAAAATGTTATTTAAGAGTCTGTAGACATTGACTACAGCATATTTAAGGCTCTCTCGTTACCTCCTAACCTCGTTTTTAAATAGGTAATTTGAAACAGTGCCACTGTCCTACTGGCTTTGTGTCAGATGAAATGAGTTTTTTTTCCCCTTTGGTGTATGTCTTGAGTTTGTTACTATTGTATTTGAATCCATAGGAAAAAGATATTTATTATATCTAAAGGAACTTTGTCTATCACTTTACTGTCAGATTGAATTTTAATCGTATTTTATACTATTCAAAGTGTTCTCTCATGTATCTTCTCATTTGCTAGGGATTACATCAATACTTTGTCCATAGGGGGAATAGTTGCCTATCATTACTTAATAAGTTTTGCTCTGTTATACTTTTTAATTTTTTTTTTTTTTTTTAGAAACAGGGTCATCCTATGTTGCCTAGGTTGGCCTCAAACTCCTAGACTCAATCACCTTGGCCCCTTGAGTAGCTGGGATTATAGGCACACACCACTGTTTCCGGCTTTCTGTTATGCTTTTACAATATAATTTATGGCCGGGCACAGTGGTTCATGCCTGTAATCCCAGCACTTGGGGAGACCAAGGCAAAAGGATTGCTTGAACTCAGGGGTTCAAGACTAGCCTGGGAAACTTGGTGAGGCCTCATCTCTACAATAAATCAAAAAATTAGCTGGATGTGGTTCTTGGAAGACTGAAGCAGAAGGATCACCTGAGCCCAGCAGATCAAGACTGCCATAGCCATGATTGTGCCATTGTACTACAACCTGGGTAACAGAGTGAGACTCTGACTCAAAACAAACAAACAAACATATATATGTATATGTATATTACATACATACATATATACATACACATAAATATATGTATAATTTATATTTGACACCTGTAGTTCCAATAAAAATACAGGTAAGAATTTTTAGTTTTGTGTATTTTATTTTATTTGAGTCTGAGTCTTACTCTGTTGCCCAGGCTGGAGTGTCCAGGCTGGAGTGCAGTGGCATGCTCACTACCATCACAACCTCAACCTGCTGGGCTCAGGCAGTCCTTCCACCTCAGCCTTCCAAATAGCTAGAGCCACAGGTGTGTGCCACCATGCCAGGCTAATTTTTTTATTTATTGTAGAGACGAGGTCTCGCCAAGTGGCTCAGGCTGGTCTCGAACCCCGGGGCTCAGGCAGTTCCTCTTGCATCCGTTTCCCAAATTGCTGGCTTTACAGGTGTGAGCCACCACTCCTGGCTTGCAATCAGTGACCTTTGATATTGCTATTGTAATTGCTTTGGGGCACTACGAACCACACTTATGTAAGATGGCAAACTTATTTGATGAATGTTCCATGTGTCCTGACTGCTCGATTGACTGTTGTTCTCCCGTCTTTCTCCCTCTTTTTGGGCCTCCCTATCTCCTGAGAGACACAGTATTTAAATTAGACCTGTAAGTGTTCAAATGGAAGGGAGAGTCATATATGTCTTACTTTAAATCAAAAGCTAGAAATGATTAAGCTTAGTGAGGAAGGCATGTTGAAAGCCAGGACAGGCTGAAAACCAGGCCTCTTGCATCAGTCAGCCAAGTTGTGAATGTAAAGGAAAAGTTCTTGAAGGAATTAAAGGTGCTACTCCAGTGTACACACGAATGACAAGAAAGTGAAATAGCCTTATTGCTGGTATGGAAAAAGTTTAAGTAGTCTGGATAGATCAGATCAACTGCAACATTCCCTTTAGATCAAAGTCTAATCCAGAGCAAGGCCTAACTAATTCTCTTCACTTCTGTGAAGGCTGAGAGAGGTAAGGAAGGTACTGAAGAAATATTTGAAGCTAGTAGATGTTGCTTTATGAGGTTTAGGGAAGGAACTGTCTCCATAACATAAATGTGCAAAGTGAAGCAGCAAGTGCTGATACAGAAGTTGTAGCAAGTTCTCCAGAAGATCCAGCTGAGATCATTGATGAACGTGGCTACACTAAACAATAGATTTTCAATGTAGATGAAATAGCTTTATATCGGAGGGAGATCCCATTTAGGACTTTTGTAGCTAGAGAGGTCAATTCCTGGCTTCAAAGGGCAGGCCGACCCTCTTGTTAGGGGCTAATGCGGCTGGTGATGTTAATTTGAAGTCAGTGCTCATTTGTCAGTCTGAAAATCCTAGATCCCTGAAGAATTAGACTAAATCTATTCTGCCTGTGCTCTATAAATGGAACAACAAAGTCTGAATGACAGCACATCTCTTTACAGCATGGTTTTCTGAATTTTTTTAAAAGTCTGTAGTTGAGGGCGACTACTCAGATAAAAAGATTTCTTTCAAAATATTGCTGCTCATTGACAGTCCATCTACTCACCCAGGAGTTGTGATGGAGATGTACAAGGAGGTTAATGTTGTTTCATGTCTGCTAACACAACGTCCATTCTGCAACCCATGCATCAAGGAGTGATTTCAACTTTTAAGTCTTATATAAGAAATACATTTTATAAGGCTATAGCTGCCATAGACAGTGATTCATCTGATGGATCTGGGCAGAATAAATAGAAAGCCTTCTGGAAGAATTCTAGATGTCTTTAAGAACATTTGAGATCATGCAAGGAGGTGTTAAAATGTCAGTAAGAACAGGAGTTTGGAAAAAGTTGATTCCACCCCTTCTGGGTGACTTGGAGGGGTTCAAGACTTTAGTGGAAGAAGTCACTACAGATGTGGTGGAAATAGCAAGAGAACTAGAATTAGAAGTGGAACCTGAAGATGTGACCGAATTGCTGCAATCTCACTTGAATGGATGAGGAATTTGCTTCTTATGGATGAGCAGAGAAAATGGTTTCTTGAGATGGAATCTGGCTTTGGTAGATCTACTACATCTTTCTATTTGACAATTAAATTGACATCATTTTAAAGTCAAATTCAAGGTTATGTCCTTTTTTTTTACTATTTCTTTTTTTAATTTAATAATGGATTTATTTAAAATGACATGTACTAATTAGAGTAACTTTTTCTAGGTAGTTTTAAATATTTCTTTTGAGATATATGTTTCTTTAAATTCAGTCTTGACTGGGAAATGTGAAACAGCAAAGAGTTTCAGTTTCCTTAAGTAAGTTCTTATATGTTTAGAGTGTCAAATATCTCTAGAACTAAACAATATCCTCTTGATTCTTTAGCTTTTCACAATTTTTTCCCAAACAATCTGGGAAATTAGAAAAGTTGTTACTTAAAAAACAAGAGAATGAAATGATGCTCCAGAAGGAATCAGGAGACTTCCATGACAATACTTATCTCTTCCATTTTTCTTCTAGCATTAGAATTGAAAAAATTAATTGCCTAGTGTTGCTTATTGCTTATAGTAATTAGAGGAATTAGAATGTTTCTAGCAAAAATAAAATAGCATCACTGCATTCCAGCCTGAGAGACAGAGTGAGACGAGACACAGTCTCTAAAAAAGTAAATTTTAAAAAATTAACTAAGAAAAAAAAAACAGAAAAGACTAACCTTTGACTATGATCAAAAGGTAGCTGATACTAAAATCGATTCAAAATACATTTGTTCAAAGAAGTATTGAGCAATTACAAAATTAAGCTCGAAGAGAATATTTTTACTGAATAGGACAATTAATTAATTAAAATAATTTATTCAGATAAATTCAGTGAATTTTGCTGCTTTGTCTTACACATTCAGACTCCTTTCTAACATTGTTTCCAGTTAAGGCTTCTGGGCTTAATTAAGTTGGAGGATGGGCCTCCTAACCCTCCTGAATATGGATTTATAACCCTACACATCCTATTTGGTGTATGCAGGCATCTGTAGAAGACTGAGGAGATTTTAAGACAGTCCTTAGTAATTGATTTTTTTATGTGTGAAATCCAACTTATGAGAAAGATGTTCCAGGCTTCATTTAAAAGAGAAAAATGGTCTGTTTTACATTTAAAAAAAAATTTCAGTAGTTTTTGGGGCTGGTACAAAAGTTTTGGTCTAGGGCTTTAAGTGTACCCACCACCCCCACCTGTGCACATTGTACCTGATAGGTGATTATTTTGTCCTTTCACCCCTTCCCCACTCCCCCTTTTAGAGTCTCCAGTATCAATAATACTGTTCAAAAATTATATTGAGGCCAGCCTGGGCAGGGAGACCTCCATCTCAAAAGAAAAGAAAAGAAAAGAAAGTGTGCGTTTATTTTAAAACCAGGCAAGGACATATTTACAGATGTATAGCTTCCGTTATGGAATTTTTACCCCGAGAAATTTACATCTATATAGCTAGTACTTTTATCACTTTCAATAGGATTTGGTAGTAAAGCTGCCCCCCCCCCCCCCTTTTTTTTTTTGAGTTGGAGTCTCACTCTGTCGCCCAGACTGGAGTGCAGTGGCTGCTCCCGGCCACCGCAGCCTCGACCTGCTGGGCTCCGGCGATCTTTCCGCCTCAGCCTTCCAAGTAGCCGGAATTTATAGGCATGCGCTACCACGCCCAGCTGATTTTTTGATTTATTGTAGAGATGAGGTCTCCCCGCCCAGGCAGGTCTCGAACCCGGGGGCTCAGGCAGTCCACTCACCTCAGCCTCCCAAAGGCGCGGGATTACAGGCTGAGCCACCGAGCCCAGCAAAGCTGCACCTTTTAAACAAGTTTTTCTAAGACTGAAAAGTGCTTGGCAGAGAAGAATTTTAGGAATTTGGAGGTAGGGATGTGAGTGAAGCCAGAGTCTAGCTACAGACAAGAAACTTCCCCTTTTCAGTTCCTCTCTGTAAAAAAAGGACAGCTTCCCCAAGAGATTCATGGATGTTGGGAAAGCAGGAATGGGGAAATTGTTGATTTTTGGGGAATGTGAGATGAGTCATGGAGGAGTACCCAAGACATTGATAGGTGAGGGTACAGAAAATAACGTGATGTCATTTTATTAAATGTTTTTCTTAAACTCACTTCAGTAAGCAGAAAACACTTTTAAAGAAACATGTGAATGACAGCGGCTATTTATCTTACCCTGTAGCTGATTTGAAGTACTCATTATAAAGTTTTTTATGTTAGCCATTTCTGTGTCTGATCTTAAATGAAGTTTGTATGTTACAAAATATTAAAAATGAAGAGCTAGATATTAGTAAAAAGTAGTAGCAGATGATGAGGAACAAATGATGACCCAAGGACTATTAGTGAAAGTGTCTCTAAATTCATGCTTTGATATGTGACCTCTCTTCCAAAAACAGCACTGACAGGTGAAATATTTAAAACAAAACAAAACGTTGCTAGGCTTAAAAATCGAACTTAACATCTCCCTGAAATAGAATAGCAAAGTGTTCTACATAACCAAACTCTGGGGCCAGAAGTTGACAGTGGTAAACAGGAATTATATTCCTTCAGGGTTAACAAAGTCTAAAAAAGACCACGTGAGAAGGAAGTAGCAACTTGGCTTTCAGCTTGAAACCAAGGGTTCTGTCTCCTTGAAAGGAGGCCAAAAAAAAAAAAAACCAGCATCTTGCTTCTTGGTGTTAAAAACTTTTTTCATAAGCTGTAGACTTAAGGAATTTGAGAATGAAGACACCCTTATGACCACAGATTTATCCAGTTTATCCAGTTTGCTTTGTTAGTGTTTGTCTGCAGCATCCCTGATGTTTTTATAGAATTGGAGTCCCAAAATACCATTATAAAGATCTAGTTCTGGGCTGATGGCAAGGTATATTTAAATTTAAAAAAACCAAAACTTCAGACAAATTTAACAGTTTAGTTGAGAAAAGATGGTTTGCAAATTAGGCACCTCACCACTCCCCCCACCACAATAGAGCAAGGCTGGTCTTGCTGCATGGTTGGAGAGGATTTATGGACAGAAAATGGAAGTGAGGTACAGAAGCAGTCAGACTGGTAACAGCTAGGCAGTTGCCTTATCTGAGCCCAGTTTGAACAGTTGGCCACCTATGATTGGCCAAGTCTCAGTGATTGGTAATACTGTAGCTTACAGTCTGTTTACACATCCAGTTAGGCTGCAGTTCAGTATGTACAGATAAACATTTAGGCCAAACTTAAAATATGTAGAGGCAGTTTTAGGCTAAACTTAGTAAATATAAAGGGGGGAAACACCTGGAAATATGCTGGGGAAGAGGTAGTAAATGGGAGTTAAAAGAGAGAGAACAAACAAAAAATCTGAGCCTGCCAACTCACATTTCAGAACATTAAAAACAACAACAACAAAAAGCTAATACTCAGGAGGGCCATTAGAAATGATCCACAAGTGACACATACACATGAACAAAATCTTTTTGTGAAAAATCTTAAGCTCTTAGAAGGAAAAAAAATGTTTTAGAGACAGTTATAGTTCACTATAACTTTGAGCTCCTGGACTCAAGGGATCTTCCTGCCTTGGCCTTCTGAATAGCTATAACTATAGGTGTGCACCACCACACCCAGGTAATTTTTAAACGTATTTTGTATTGATGGGGTCTTGTTTCCCAGTCTGGTCTGGAACACCTGGCCTTCCCACCTTGGCCTCCTAAAGTGCTGGGATTATGGATGTTGAACCCCTGTGCCCAGCCCTATATATCTTTTTTTTTTGGTTTGTTTTTATTTGAATAGCTTTGGGAATCCAAATGGTTTTTTTGGTTACATGGTATAGTGGTGAAGAAGTCTGGGCTTTTAAGTGTATGTGTCACCCCCACTAGTGCACAAACAGGTGATTTTTAACTCCTTCCTACCCTCCCCCTTCTGAGTCTCCATTGTCCATTATACTCTTTTTTTTTTTTTGAGTCGGAGTCTCACTCTGTCACTCAGACTGGAGTGCAGTGGCACGCTCCCAGCCACTACAGCCTCGACCTGCTGGGCTCCGGCGATCCTTCTACCTCAGCCTTCCAAGTAACTGGAATTGCAGGCGCACGCTACTACGCCCAGCTAAGTTTTTAATTTATTGTAGAGATGAGGTCTCTCCAAGTTGCCCAGGCGGGTCTCAAACCCGCGGGCTCAGGCAATCCACTCACCTCAGCTTCCCAAAGCGCGGGATTACAGGCTGAGCCACCAAACCCGGCTCATTAAACCATTTTGTATACCTATGCAGACCTTTAGTTTGGCTCTCACTTATAAATGAGAATGTGCAGTATGTGCAGTATTTCCTATTCCTGCATTATTTCAGTTAGGATGGTGGTTTCCAGTTCCATCCAAGTTGACTGCAGAAGACATTACTTCACTATTTTTAATGACTTAATAGTATAAATGGTGTGTGTGTGTGTGTGTGTGTGTCTGTATATGGACACCACATTTTCATTATCCACTGATCAGTTGATGGGCATTTAGGTTGATTCTGTATCTTTGCAGTTGCGAATTGTGCTGTGATGACCATACAAGTGCAGGTGCCTTTTTGTATAACGACCTCTGTTCCTTTGGGTAAATACAAGTAGTGGGATTGCTAGATTGAAAAGTAGATCTGCTTTTACCTTACCATACCAGTTTCCATAGAAGTTGTACTCATTTAGACACCTACCAACAGTGTATAAGTATTTCCTTTTCACCATATTTATGCTATCATCTTTTTTTTTTTTTTAAATAATGGCTTTTTTGACTGATTTCTTTATTCTGTTCTATTGGATCATGTGTCTGCCCTTGTACCGGTATCATGTGGTTTTGGTTACGATAGCTTTGTAATATAGTTGAAGTTGAGTAATATGATGCCTCCAACTTTGTTATTTTTGTTTAGGATTGCTTTGTCTATTCTGGCTCTTTTTTGTTTTCATGTGAATTTTTGGATCTTTTTTCTCATTTTGTGAAAAATAACGTTGGTAGTTTGATAGGGAATGTGTTGACTATGTAGTTTAATTTGAGTAGTATGTCATTATTATAATGTTGATTCTTCTAATCGGTGAGCATGGGATGTTTTTCCATTTGCTTGTGTCCTCTACAATGTCTTTCATTGGTGTCTTGTAGTTCTCCTTATAAAGATCTTTCACCTCCTTGGTTAAATATATTTCTAGGTATTTTAATTTTTTGGCAGCTATTGTAAATGGGATTGAGCTCTTGATTTAATTCTCAGCTTGGTTTTTATTGGTATGTAGCTATGCTACTGGGTTTATGTGTATTGATTTTTGTAACCTGAGACTTTTACTGAATTTATTTATCATGTCCAGGAGCCTTTTGGAGGAGTCTCTAGGATTTTATAGTTATAAGTCATATCAATAGCAAGCAGAAATAATTTGATTTCTTCTTTTCCAATTCAGATACCCTTTATTTCTTTCTCTTGCCTGATTGTTCCGGCTAGGAATTTCCCAGCCCTATATATCTTCATGATCTTGATCTAAAAAAACTTTTTCTTTTAAAAGAAAGAAATAATAAAAGAAAACTTAATAAATTGCATTTTAAAATTCTATACATCAAAAGGCATTACAAAGTGAGAAAGAAGCTACCAGTTGATAAATATATTTTCAACATACATTATCAAGTAGGAATTATTATCCAAATCTGAAAATACCTTTTAGATGCCAGGCATGGTGGCTCACACCTGTAATCCCAGCACTTTGGGAGGTGGAGACAAAAGGATTGCCTGAGCCCAGAGGTTCAAGACCAGCCTGGGCAACTTGACGAGACCTCATCTCTACAATAAGTCAAAAAATTAGCTGGGCATGGTACCTTGTGCCTATGGTTCCAGCTACTTGGAAGGCTGAGGTGGAAGGATCTCCTGAGCCCAGCAGGTGGAGGCTGTGGTGGCCATGAGTGTGCCACTGCACTCCAGCCTGGGCTACAGAGTGAGACTCCGACTCAAAAAAAAAAAAAAGAAAAAGAAAATACCTTTTAGATAAATAACAATCCAAAAGGAAATGGAAAAGGATTTGAGTAAGCAATTCACAAATAGGAGCCTGGATTGTTAGTAAACATCTGAAAAGATGTATTATTAATCAAGGAAATGCTAGAAAGGGGGATAAAAAATATTCAGGATGGTCTCACATTAGCAAATAAATCCTGTGTCCAGAAGTAACACTTCACTTAGACCCTGAGTTATCTGAAATGATTAGAGCTTGTCTGCTGACCAATAGGAAATGAACCATGACTAAGAAATAAACCTTTGTTGTGTAAAGCCACTGAGATTTTGTGATTGTTACTGCACATAATTTAGTTTATTTTGACTGATGCAGAGATATAAATGGCTTGAGGGTTGACTTTGAAGTATATGTGTTGATGTAACTTTAAATTTGCTTGCTATGATCATGTATTTCTTATTTTTTTAAAAATTGCTCTGGTTACCATGTAGAGATTGGATTGTGAGAGATTTTGGAGAAAGCTGTCAGGAGGCTGTTAAAAGCTGTTCAGTGAAGAGATGATAGTCAAGACTAGGATGGTGTGTTGGATAGAGAGTGGTATATATAGATGGAAGCTAGAGATACTTCATTGCTGTAGTGATCCACTTGGATGTGCTATATGTTTCTGCAATGGGGTTTTTACAGTGAGCATCCAACACTTCTGTAAGCCAAAAATAAAGTTATTCATGCTCCTCCAGACCTTTTTACCATGTCGTCTACAGACCAAAGGTTATAGGACAGAGTGTAACATTCTACCCATTCTATCTTGCTAACTTTACCTTTTTTTACCTGTTCCCTAATGTGCAGGCACGCACGCATACACACACACAGACAGACTGTCGCTATTTCTTTCTTCATACATTCTCCCTCTCTCGTTCATTAGAACTGAAAACTTTATAATTCCTATTTTTATGGTTTTGTTCACATTGTTCTTGAATACCTTTGTTTACTTTTTTTTTTTTTTTTAGTTGGGGTTTCCCTCTGTTGCCCATGCTAGAGTGTAGTGGCACAATCACAACTCATCGCCGCCTCGACCTCCTGGACTCGGGTGATCTTCTGCCTCAGCCTCCTGAGTAGTACTACCTGTATTGTTTTTGT